GGACTAATTGGAACAGTTAAGCGTACTTTGATTAGTACATAATGCTGTGATTGTGAAGCTAGTGTAAACTATTTCAGGACTCACTGTTAGATAAACATGTTAATATTGTACTTCCACATAAGCATGTTAATATTGTACTCCATATAATCATGTCAATATTGTACTTCCACATAAACATGTTAATACTGTACTTTCACATAAACATGTTAATATTGTATTCAACACAAACATGTTAATACTGTACTTTCACATAAACATGTTAATATTGTATTCAACACAAGCATGTCAATATTGTACTTCCACATAAACATGTTAATATTGTATTCAACACAAGCATGTCAGTATTGTACTTCCACATAATCGTGTTAATATTGTACTTCCACATAAACATGTTCATTTGTACTTCTTCATCTATTTGGTCAAGTTGCATGGTGAAATATGAAATAAAAATTTACCAATCAGCCGAATAGTCTCTGTAAAAATTGAAACATACACTTTTCCCTTTAACTGTTATTCATAAAGTTGATCTGCTAGTGATACGATATGTATATATATTACTTTTCTATATATATCAAGCTCGTGCTGTTATTTTAGTCGGTTTACGTTTCACTTTTCACATCTGTATGTACCGTGGTAGAACTTTTTCATATATAAATTTATAGGATATTTGGCACTCTAGATACACATACTGTATCACAATTACAGTATTTTGGCACTTGTGTATAAAGTTAAAATCATAAATGATATTCAACGTTAAACTGGTACACAATTAAAAACATTTTATTTAGGCCTATCTATGGCCTTCAAAAAGTTGACGACTCCACATGTTTCGACGTTATGACTCCGAGGATGACGTTGTAACATCGAAACATGTAGAGTCGTCAACTTTTTGAAGGCCATAGAAAAGCCTAAATAAAATGTTTTTAATTGTGTACCAGTTTAACGTTGAATATTATTTATGATTTTTACTGTATCACATTGTAATTCTGTTTAATTAATTTAATATTTT